ATCGTTCTGGTCCAGGATAAAAACATGGACAGTGGTGTTGCTGCTCAGAGGAGGGGAACCATGGTCCTTTGCCTGAACCTGAATCTGAAACACCTTCAGCTTCTCATAGTCAAATGATTGCATGCTGTAGATGCTCCCGTTTTCTGAATTAATGTAAACATAAGATGAGACAGAAGCGTCTTGTACTTTTGAATCTAGGATGGAATATGTGATTTTTGCGTTTTCACCAGAATCTAGATCAGAAGCAGAAACTGAGTGAAGTATCGAACCTGGTACTTTGTTTTCTTTTAAATATACATTATATGAGGACTGAGTGAATGATGGAGGATTGTCATTAACATCAGTGATGTATACTGGTATAACCTTTTTACTTGAAAGCGGAGGAGAACCTGAATCAGTAGCTGTTATCTCGATATTATACTCTGAAAACGTTTCTCTATCCAAAGGGCCGCTGGTAACCAGCGCATAATTGTTAGAAAATGACGATTTAAGACTAAAAGGAGAACCTTTATTTAACTGCAGCGTAACTTTGCTATTATTCCCAGAATCGGCATCACGTGCATTAAGCAAAGCAACTACTGTGCCCCTTGGTGCGTCTTCCTGCACAGGCTGGGGTTCAGAAGTGAGAACAATTTCTGGTGTGTTATCATTAACATCTAAAACATCTACCTGTAAACGACAATCGCTCTCCATTCCTGGGTGTCCTTTATCTTTAGCAGATATTTCTATTTTATAGGATTTGGCTCTTTCATAATCCAAATCTTTTGATAAGTATATTTCTCCTGTTGATGAGTTAATATCAAATACGGCCAACACAGACTCAGGAGTCCTTGAACTAAAAGAATATTCTATTTCCCCATTAGATCCCTCATCAGCATCAGTTGCAGTGATTTTAATTACAAATGCGCCCTTTGCAGTATTCTCTTTTAATGAAACTTTATAAATATTTTTTTCAAACACAGGAAAATTATCATTATTGTCAAGCACAATAATTTTAAGTTGTGCGGTACCAGAAAGGGGCGGAGTTCCCCCGTCTACCGCAGTCAGTTTTAAATGATGGACAGCTGTTTTTTCTCGATCAAGAGGCTTTTCTAACACCAACTCTGGAACTGCTCTGCCATCTTCCACTTCCTTCATTTTTAATGTAAACATTTCATTTTTGGTTAAACTGTAGGATTTCACCGAATTACTTCCAACATCTAAATCTTCTGCATTCTCCAAAGAAAAGCGCGTTCCAACTGCTGCCGATTCTGCAATTTTAACTATTAATTCTTTCGTTTGAAAGATTGGAGCGTTATCATTTATGTCTTTTATTTCTACCTCGAGTCTATGCAATTGTAAGGGATTCTCAATAACAATTTGTAAAGGTAACACGCAGCTCGGGCTTTGTCCACAAAGAGCCTCTCTGTCTATTCTGTCATTCACCACCAGCTCTCCCTTCCCCGCAACCACGCTGAAATACTGCTCATCAGACTCAGATGCGACCCGCAACTTACGGTCAAAAATCGCAGATAATGACAAACCCAAATCTTTAGCGAGATTTCCAACAACAAAACCCGGTTTTACTTCCTCTGGGATGCTGTAGCGAGTCTGTGCTTCTACTGAGCTCCATAGGAGAAATAAAAGATGCCACCAAAACGCTCGCCATCTCCAGCCTCGAAATCCCATTTTCTTTGTAATCACCGATCCGTCAGGCCTTTTCCATTATGAAGCTTAAGGTACCAATCCAGTTCCAGTGAGTGTCAAAAAGAATATCAAATCTAGAAATAGCTGGTCCATTCATGCCTACAGCATAATTCATTTTTTTTTTAGCTCCGAGGTATAAGCACGTCCCACTGTGATCTCACTCATTGCATTGTTAACGTGTTGTGGTGGTGAAGCTGCTCTGAGAGGGGGGTAGATCTCTTTGTATTTTCCCTTCTGCTATTGGAGCAAAGCATACCTCGCTGTCATCCAATGAGAAGCGCTCTGAGCAGAGCTTTTTATAAAACAGGCTGCTTATGGAAACAAGTATACCTCACGTTCTAGAGATGAAGCTTTAGCCAATACA